TTTTGTTGGCTATTTGAATGGATGGTGGGAGTAGAGGCCAAGATAATGAAGTGAGGGTGATAGTAAGGAAGTATTTATTTTATTTCTACTACAATTTAGTGTACACATTGAACATTAGTTGGTTTGTATTCAAGATATCATAGTGTGGGGAAATTTTAAGGAAAAACTAAGTTGTATATGGAAAGGGAAAATTGGAATGTGTAATTGAGAATAGATTAACTATATGAATTGTGTGATAAATTTTGAATTGTTAATAAATGATTTGAGTTGGTTTATGAGCCACATGGACATAGGAGGACATGGCCGATAGGGTGAGTCAGCATCAATGAGGTAAGATATGCATTTTTATTGTAGTATGTAAGTTGATTGAATATTGTTTGTATACATGCATTTTAATTAGTTTTGGGTGACATGTCTTCATACTCTTACCTGTTGAGATTAGCCTGATATTATGATACATGCAACCATTCTACATATAACTTCCTATAATAGGTGATTGATTTAAATGATGATGTTATATACAATTCGGGCATACAATGATTCATAGTATATGAATCATACAGTCATACTTGCTTATATGTTAATACCGTTGATAGCTATATCAATCTACATGCATGTGCGTATATATATGTCAAGTGTCACATCACCCAAACAGGAAAATATAATGATCAGATAAGCTTGAGAAAATATCAGATCAGGTTATAGGTGGGTTGGACAACACAACCCTGATGGGCAATGCCACCCAATAGAGGCAGTGCAACCTCGGTATGAAATTAAGCCTACAAGAGATGGAGGCAATGTGATCTCAATAGCCTATGGGACGTAGAAACTTAGACATCTAGACATGAAGCTTCTAAGACTGGCAAAGGGAATTATGAAATGAACTAAAATCTAATCATGCTTAACTATGGTAATGTATGATGCACATATTGGAAAACAACTAACAAGGTAGGATTGACAAACAAGATATCATTTTTATATTAAATAAAACAAGTTTAATATAATGATATTAATATAACACTCTACATAGCTCTTATGTATAATAGTATTTTCACCTGTTATGTTATAACCTACTGTGTAAAGGCTTGATGTTGTTGTTGTTGTTGTATGTTATAACCTACTGTGTAAAATACCTATTTAATGATTTCTTATAGTCTATCTTACTTTCACTTGTTGATGCACTTAGAAGTTTTAAATTTCTGATACTTGACTACTTTGTATTAGAGTTTGATGCAAGCAAAAAAATTAGAAGAAAGCCTAATTTTTGCAAGCAAAAAACAAACGCTTCCTAGGATACAAAAATTACACAAATATACCCAAAAATAGACAAAATACGACTTCACTTTTATAATTTTAAATGACTTTTACAACTCTTGATACTTACAAACGACGCTTACAAACTTTTGACATAAAAAACCATAACTTGCATTGCTTGAGACGAAAGATATAGGTGACGTCGAACTTACGGATAGAAAAAAGAGGTTAGAAGACTAGATCAAGTAGAGGAGTAACTCGCAAGTTATCCCAAGAAAGAGAGGAAGAAGTGGAACAAGCTCTCAAGCTTTTCCAAGAAAAACCCTCAGGTTTTCATGTCCAAAAATAAAGTCATATCACTCTTTTTCCTTCTCAAAACATCTCCAATTTATAAGCCATTCCACCTCCAACTAAAACCAATCAGATTTGGGGAAATGAAAGGCCAAAAGACACCACAGCAGCCCCCCAAATTCTGCAAGGGAAATAGGAAGCAAAGCCACGGGAAACCCAGCCAGCAAGTCACGGGAAACCCAGCTAGCAAGCCACAGGAAAGCAGCCAAAGAGGGACCCGAGGAGCCAACACAGGAAACGGGGTAGGGGATTCACGGGAAAGCAGCCAGGGATGAGAAACGAAAAGACAACCAGCCAAAGCATTGACTCACAAGGAAGAAACCAAAGAGACACAAGAATAGGAAGAGATAAGCTACATACCTTTATGATTTTATGAGCTAGGAAGTGCAATTATTCTTCTAATTAATGAACTAAAACATCAGCTCAAACATTTATGAGGTAAAAACTAAGTAGAATCCAACTTTTTTAGCTCAAAACCAAGGAGCCAAAGCCCACCAGAGAGCAGCCAAGGCCCCAAACCGAAAAATAGCAAACAGTCCAAGGGCAAAACCAAGAGGTAGCAAGCAGCACAAAGCTTGCCTACATCAGAGTTGCATATCTTTGTGGGTGTCATCACAAATAAATTATTATGGTTGTTGCAAGAAAAGGGAAGGAGAAAGTTGAACCACAATATTTTCAGGGTACGTTTTAATTTTTGTTATTTTTGGTTGATGTAAGAAAGATCTATTATGAGGTTAGTAATCTGTCAATAGTCATCTGTTTTAGTTTCTTGTAGTTGCTCTGTGAAGGAAAAATTTAAGAAATGAAATTTTTACAGCTTATACTTATGATTGATGTTTTAAGTTATGATCTCTTTCAAAATTTGTTTTACATTTAGATCTCAAAAATTATATTGAAATGCAATATAGTAATATAAGTGATTAACAACCTCTTATTTTGTTGTTTTCCCCGTTGAATTCTTATCGTAGGGTTGGCGTGGGGGGTGACAGAGCGCATCAATCCCCCCAATATCTTAAATTAGCAAGAACTCAAATGCATTGTGATACCGTTCAGCAGAAAATTTTTATGTCATACAACTCTCTTACATGAGTTTTGTGAATTTTTGCAAATGTTTTTACAGCAGATCATACATAATTAAGAAAAAAAATAAAAATTGCATTTCATTTTCATTTACTTTCCATCTCAACAATTTGCATTATTTTTTGCATTATAAAGCCCAAAACCCTACTACGGCCTCCATCGCATTTTCATGCCAATACAGGACAAATATTATTGCCATTTAGAGGCAATTTTTATACTCTTTTATGTTAGACCAATGTTAAGAAAATAATTTCAAAAATTAGGAACTATAAATATCATCAGGGATCATTGTTAACATTCTTAAATAAAATGATTTCATTCCCAGTGCTCTTGATGATCTTTGCACCAAAAAAACTTATCAGCTTCTTCGTGAAATCTATACTTGTGGGGGTTATTTAGCTAAAAGAATTTTATATTCAAATTTATACTTGTGATTGCTCACCCGGGACGCGAACTCGACAGAGTCGAGCTCTTTTCCACCCCGGGAGAATGATGCGGACATCCAACCGTCCATGCCTATCCGAGGAGGAGCTGAAGAACGACAACCATGATCGCCCTGCATTATCTTAAATTTTCATTTGTAATTTTTATTTTAATTATGCATTTTCCATTTTTACCCTTATTTAAAGGTCTAATCTCATGTAAGCCCTAGGGGCATGATTGTCTTATTTTAGTTTCTTTTATTTCTGAGGCCTATATATACAGGCACTTGCTAGTGTAATGGTATGATGAAGTTTTAATAAAAAATTTCTTCTGCACTTTTGTTCCTTGGGAGGAATTAGGTGAGATCCCTATGGGAGGGAATCGTAGTTCCACCAACTGCAGCATGGGTCTGGGCTTGTGGCTTGAAGTCCCTTAGTGAAGGGCAACGTATCACCCGTCAGCCGCAGGAAGCGTCCGGGCTCATAGTTTTATCTTTCTTTCCCTACACTTCTTTTCTCATTCTCCCTTGACCACCGGCCATACCCCCTCCATAGCCGCCGACCAAGCTTCTCTCTTCCCTCCTCCCAATCTCTTAAACCGAACTTCACCACCACCTCCTAGCTGGCAACCCCATCTCCTCCCATCCTCCTAGCCCCCGGCCACCCCCATCATTTTCCTCTTAATGATGATTTCAATCATCATTAATTTCTACCAAAATTAGCATTTCTAATTTGGGGAAAGAATTAAATCTATTTGAAATTAAAATTTAAATTTCAAATACTTTCCTAAAATTAACTAAGCTAACTTAGGAAAGTTCCTAAATTAAGTTTAATTTGATCTTAAATTAGATTTGATTTAATTACCCTTTTCCTAATTTAGAATCATGATTTAGGAAGTTTAAATTTCCTCCAAAACCCCATCTTTCTGTTATTAGAATATCATTAATTTGGAAAGGAATTTAAATTCAAATTAATCCAATTTGAATTCAAATCCTTCCTAATTAATTACTTTAATTTTGGAAGCTTCCCTCAACCTATTAATTAATCAAATTTGAAATTGATTAATAGAAACAAAAGATAGAAAATAAAAATAATAGAAACCGCAAGCCTTGGACTCTTCCGAAGACTGACGGGTGATTCGTTTGCCCTTCTCCAAGGGACTTCACGTCACGAGCCCGGACCCGGACCCATCCTGCGACTGGTGATACTCTCGATTTCTCTCATAGAAATCTCACTCTCGTCCTCTCTCAAGAAGAACACAAGTGTGGAAAACACAAAATTTTCATATCAAATTAACCATCATATTACAATAGCTTAAGGTCCTATATATAGGCCATAACATGAGAACATAAAAATACAAAAATGCCCCTTGGGCCATAACACTCAAATAAACTAACCTAGGGATAAAACAGAAAATAACATAAAATAATAGCTAAAATTCATAAAATAAATTTTAAATAACAATTTAAATTAGAGCCGTCAATTTACGACGCCTCCTGTGATAGATGCGCCAGATCTTCATGCCGATGTCCGCATCACCGCCGGTTCCCCCCTTCTCTCTCCTATCTCCCTCTCTCTCCATTAATTCCCCTTCCCCTTTGGAGTTAAATTTAAATTTCAAATTCCAAATCCCTCCAAATTAAAATCTGAAAATTAAATTCAAATTTTAAGTGGCTAGCCGCCGCTCCCATTCTACATCATATCTAGCTGCAGCTAATCATTCAAAAGAAATACAATCCTGCAAACAAAAAATAAGGTCTGTTGGAATAACAAAGAATAGAAAATATGCATACCAACCACAGATAAGAAAAAATAGATCAGTTCAACCACTTAATGCCATCGAACAAAACTCAAGCACGTTGCACAAGTTCCATGAAGGTTGAGTTGATGTACCATTTACGGCAGCTTCAAGATGCTGCTCAGAATTTAAACATGATAGAGCTGCTTGTACTAATGGATGGGAAGCAAGTGTTGACGCAGAAACCCTGAAAAAGCAACTTGTTTAAATTCCAAAGTACCAATCATCAATTATATGTAATGGTTAGAATCAGAGTGAATTAATGCGCTTATAAAATTACTGGTTTTAGTTTTCATATTTTGGTTAACAAGCTCGGCAATATAGCAATCAATGAACAAGCTCAAACATTAAAAAGTTGTTTACTTGCGTTTAAGAACATGTTTGTTTGGTATATCTTCAATAAGTAGTTTGATAATGCCCAATGTAATACTTCTGTAGCTTAATGTTAGTAATTTGATAATTGCTTTGGCGAAGCAAATTGTAGAGGGCCAATTAATACGCTTTCAATAAAATACAATTTGATGATTTTCAATTTAAAAAAAAAAAAAGATAAAACAAATAACTCACTACAAATAAAAGGATTAGGTTATATCAGATGATAAAGGCTCTTTGTCGTTTCGCTACACCTAGCATATCCATTAAATTCTAGCAAACATCAATTAGAGTTCAAAAAGGGATCAAGATCAATAAAAACAAATAAAGAGTAAATTAGAAGTTATCCTCAGGTTTATGAAAAGTCTTGCCTAGGTGCAAATGTTCTGAAACACATGTTTAGTTCACTCTTGCGTATCATATATTACAACAATGCTGTGATTTTCTTTATGTTTCTTCTCCACAATCAGTCTTAGCTACTCTGCACATCCTCAAAACATAGCTCCTTCTCCCCAGCTATCTCCATGATTGGTGATTAACAATCTTAATGAGATTGCAAACCATGATACACAGGATGCTAGAAAGAGGCCTGCAGGGCGGGAGACTTGACGATGGAAGAGCAAAGACAGTAGCACCAGCTTTCCCACACCAACACCAACAATGCACCATGCACATTGTTTGGTTGTCAACCAGGAGACATGTGAAGGGAAGCAAGAAGATGACAGAAGAAGGATGTTGATGGAAGAGAATAAAAGGAGATGAGTTCATTATAGTTATTTACATTTAAATAACTCATAAAGCATTTGGAACACAGAAGAAAATTTATTGACCAGATAAGCTTTTCAAACCTTTGGACAAATGTGAAACTTATGGTAAATCTTGAGGCCAGCAAATAATCTAGAATACTACAACAACAACTACTACTACTAGAGCATTTATCCCACTAGGTGGGATTGGCTAGATGAATATTTTTTCTCCATTATGACCTATTAAGATTCAACATATGTTCCAGCATTAAAAAAAAAACTTAAACAAAAGTTATGTTATAATAACATCAGCAAAGAAACACAAAGCATCCTAAGACAAGTGTTAATAACCTACAGGTTAGCTTCAATAGAAGAGGACATGATAAAAGAAGATTAGGCAGGTGAGACTGAAGTTAATAACTTACATAAAAGAAACGAAAGCTTCAATGGCTATCCACTCCTCTAGAATTAGCACAAATTGAATTTTTTGAGGATTGTCTCACAAGTGAATTGGATTTTGCTAGAAAATGTGATTGGGTGGATTAATGGGAGGATATAATTTATAAACCCATTGAACTTTCACTATGGAACCTAATTTGACATGAAAGAAAACAGAAGGTTAAACTGGGCTGTCAGATAAGAATGCCATTCAAAAGCATCCTCTAAAATCCAAAAGATTTGTCCTTCCAAAATAAAACTTTCATCCCATCAAATCCAAAGCAAGGAATATTCCAATTCCCCAATATCCCCCGCCATTCCCCAAAACCACAACTCAATTCAGCCCTAAGACCATGCAAGGATGTTGATGCCGCCCTCTGCCAGATGATTAAGAAAGAGCTCAACATAATAGTAGAAATAAATTTAGTGAAAGTGAAAGCCAACATAAGAAACAGAAATGAATTGAAATTAAAAAGTATATGAAAATGATAATTCGAAACATCTTCAAAAAAGGAGCTTAATTTGGATTCTATAGAAGAATAAATTAAATGTGATATTTATTTTTTGGGTATGTTAATACCAAAAAAAAAATATTTTGAAAGTCACATTGGCTTTAACATAGAAGGAAATTTTTAGGAAAATCAACAATATTGACCAATTTCAGCTAAAGACGGCTAATGGAAAATCTTACATGATAGAGAGAGGAACTTCAGATGTCTCACCAAACTTCAACGGCTATTTTTAATTCCAAAAATTAAAGTGTGTATTATGAACAATGGGCGCTACCATGTGTAATTTTATTTAATTAAGAATATAAAATTGAAATCCAATAACTAGCAAACAAAGTAGTTTTATAATCATAAAAGATACCCCAATAATGCATACATAACCCAATCGTAGCATTGTAAGGGTCCACAGTACTCCCATATCTTTCTTTACAAGCTCTTGATGTTCAACCAATAATGTTCAAACAAAAAATAAAAATAACATCATTACAAGTTCATTGTAACTGACTTAAGTTCGTATTGATAGCATACATCTAGCTCAATGTTAAAGAAAACAATAGGAAACTAACAAGACGAGAAAAGAAAGGATTGATACATGATACACAAATTAACTAGAATTAAAACGCATCAAAAAGTGATTGAAGAATATCAGGTAAACTTATATATTAGATATCACAAGGAATACTTGAAAGGATATAACTAGAAAGTAGCAGCTATGATATGTGGATAAGTTGATAACTTTTAAGACCAGAAAATATAATTTAGAAGAAAGGTCAAACTAATGTCCGCCAAGGATAAGTTTAAAGATAGTATATTGAAGTAGTCTAAGGTGCACATTAAGGAATGGATAAAATATCAGTTCAGGGAAGGGAGAAGTAATTTGAAATGTCAAAAAAGGTAATTGGTAGGTAAAACTTAAAAGATACTTCGGTTAAATCCAATCACAAAGATTTAATTAACTTATATCACCATCAAATGCGGTAGTTAACAATTTGTATAAAACAATGGATTCATAAAGCTAACAATCATGCTTGGCATGAGATCTATGATTTTTGCAAAGGCAACAGTGATGATGACCATAATTCTCCTAAAATTACATCTCAACAGCTGAAAGCCAGCTCAATCTTTCAATGTGCATCTGCTAGCTGTGTTAAGCAGTTTAAGCCTCAAATGGTTGATTGACAAAAAGTAAAAACAATTGTAGATACACTGAACTTTTCAGTGGAACAAAGCATAATTTCAAGAGCGTAAGGAGCATACCCAGAGCTTAATCGAAGCCACGATGCAAAAGAAACCAATACCTGTATAGAGAGAAGGCCAATGTGATCAAAAATTCATACCAAGTAATTAGAATACCTTCAATTCCTTACATAAACTTGTGATGCATTACAGTCAAATGGGATATCAAACGAAAAGCAGCAATAAAATTAGAATTAGATTATGCCTCCGGTATTCTTTTCAACTGATTTGCCTTCCAAAAAAAAAATAAAATTTTATAATTTTGATTAGTGTAGGACATGTGCAGAGGAAATCTTTACATTGCACTTCATTTCATGAATTCATGCATGGAAAACAACTCAGGGTAACTTGTTCATATCTATGAAATAGCGATAATGCTGAAGGTTTTAGAAAAGAAAGGACAAGCTTGCTATAGACAGCAAATGCACCATCCCCACATTTGTAAGTTGTGATTGAGCTTAATTTCATTGATTCGGGATTATTTCAATCCATTTACTATTTCCTTATTATAATGTCAAAAATGAATTTAAGTGCAATAATATCAATTTTTAGTTTATGGATGACTCTGGATCTTTGAAAGGTCTTATTGTAAAAGCTTCTCACTGTTTACTTGTGACATATTTTGCGTTTAGAAGATTATATGGCCTGTAATTATGGGGATTCCATAAACATATTTTATTTTCAATTATATAAATACAAATATATCCCCATAAACAAATTTTAGTTTCAATTATATAAATACAAATATAGATATAAAAACTAATATAAAAACATTGTGTGGGCATATATACCGCATAGAAAATTAAGCTTTAGTGCTTTTGGTTCAAACAAAGGATGTTGAATTCTGGACTTTGGCTGTACCAGCACCTCTTATGGAGATAGAAGCTCCACAATCACATTTGGCATCAGGCTCTATGAGAAATCGAGAAAGAGAATCCAAAGGACATGAGATTAGTTTTTCAAATAGACGACAGATATTGGAGTAGCCTCGAACAAAGTAACATATTACTTATGTCAATACCCCCACTCTTTGTGAAGCAGTTGATGGTGACATGTTTTTCATAATCATGGGTGGCTACAGAGAAAGATACCGACTCTTGAGTTTTCCTTTCACCAATTAGATTTGAACTAATTAGACATCTATATAAATTGAAAATTTGTCGATATCAAGAGAAAGCCCTGGTAATCAAGTCCTAAGTTGAGTGATTGAATTATATAAAATTGAATTAAGCAAGAATCGAGCAAAATGGAATGATAGATTCATAATGAGAAAGCTGTATTACTGAAGATCATGGTGGATTTTTAATCTTTATTTGCTGACAAGAGAAAAAATCTAGTGTTAGGGAAGAATCAAGAAGGTAAAAAAGGAGGTTGAAAAAATCATAAAAAACAATGCCTCAAGAGGAGAAAAAAGCAAGTAAAGCAAGAGAAAGAAGAGACCCATGGTCAGAAGAGAGAAGGAAATGATCAAGAGCATTTTTTTAAAAATCATGAAGCGCAAGGTGAAGCATTCCTGTGTCAGCAGGCTCAAGGTGCAAGTTTTTGAAACTTCAATTTTATTTTAAAAAATAAAATTATAAGAAAAAAATCTATTTTAAAAAATAGTATATAAAAAATATTAAAAATGGGGAAATTGGGAAAACTAAGAAAAAAGGGAAAGTGATAATAAACATAAAAAGAACAGCAGGTAAACATCAAATGTATAATAATAACAATATAAACCCTTTGACATGTAATCATCAAAATATTAAAATCATCCATGAGCCATAGGAGAGAAAAAAAACAATAAACATAATAAGGCAACAAAGACCAAAAAAACCTTTCTTAAAATTGAATAATCACAAAAAATGTGGCCTTTTATTGTGGTCATATAAGGCATTCTCCATGGAAGTAAATCACACCAAGGATTATACTTTTAGCAATTCTTGGGCTAAGGCAAATGCTTCATGAAGCAAACGCTTCAATTTCAATTTTTCAAAGCATTATTTCTACACTTACAATTGAGATAAACCAATGTATGCTTCTAAAAACAGTGACAAAAAGCTAATGCGGATAGAAAATCATTGTATTATTCCAAAATCAATCATTTTTCCATCACAACTCAGAAAAATGAAGGCATGCACTCCACTCAATCTTTTCAACATGCAACTTTTGTAGAACGCTTTCCTTGTTGACATAGATCACATGAAGTAGACCAAAAATCCTGACAAACTCTCAAAATAAACTCATTGCTCAATCTAGGGATCCGTTAAAGATGAGATTAGTTCCTTTGCATTTCAAATGCTTGGAGAAGGGACACATCGCTATGAAATATAACTGCAAAACCATTTGCTATGATTGGAAGAAAACTGTTCAAAAAAAAAGTTTGATATTCTTCACATGACTTTATTACATTATGTTGAAGATAATAAAAAGCTCCAAAAACTTTGGGTTCTTATATGTTCCTGATATTAGAATCATACAAGATGATCTTATTGAAACCCTTAAATGGTATTTGAATAGAGATTGGTATCATTCCATTACATTCGCCCAACCTGGATCCTTTGTCAAAGTTAATTAATCTGATGAAATTCTTAAGTCTCTTATAAGGAATGACTAAATGAAGCTGATGGATTTTCTATCATGGTGACTAAAAAGGATGAGAAATTGGTGCTTATTCAAGGAAAAAGAGATTTACATGTGCATTGGAATTTTGGTCTGCCATACTGTAGTTATCGGAATTGTGAGACGATCTTTCCCTACTAAGTTTGGAAAACATGGTCATTTGGACAAGCATGCCATTGTTTAAGAAAGATTACTAGAGACCAAGGTGTTTGTTCTAGTTAATGTGCTAAGTTCATTACCAAATGTGCGCAAATTCATTTTAGCAAATCATGCTTATAATGTTACCCCCCCCCCCCCGTTTAACAGAAGCTCGAGGGAGGAAGATCGCGGTCCAGGCGGATCGCAAGCGAGGATGCTCACGTGCATAACGCTTCCTGAATGGCTCGGATTGCATCGTCGATCAGATTTTCGCGTATAAGGATGAAAGGTAACGACTCCACTCATTGGATATTGTTAGTTCGCTCATTCTGGCAGAAGAAATCACGAGAGGGAAAGTTCTTGTTGAAGAGGAACGGCTGAGAGGAAGAAAGAAGAAGAAGAAGATTTGTTTTTTTCTATTCCTGTATAAATCTTTCCCTATTTCATCATCTAAACAACGAGGGTGTTTCATTAAGGGCAAAGGAAGAGATTTGAAAGTGGAGAGAAAGAATTTGGGAAAGGAAGAAGAAGGATTTTGGGTTGGCATAATCCTCTTTTTGTAAGTGATTTTCTTATCATACATCTTCAGATAGATTTTGTAGAATAAAATTATTAAAATTTCTTTTATGGCAATTTTAGAAGGGAAAGGAAGAAATCAAAAATTGGAGGGAGACCGTCTCAGCAAGAAAGAAAGGTCCTTTAAGGTAAAAGATACAAGTTAAAATTTTATGTCTTATCTATTTTGAAGAAAATCTTAATGCCAATATCGATTTGATTAGAAAGAATTTGACTAACCTTGTGTGCGAGGTAAAGTATCGACACTAATAAGATAATTTTTCGGGAGATCGGAATTGTAGGAAGAAAGATCGTCGCAGGAGTTCAAAGTTAGAAAGTATTGAAGCCAAAACCTTCAAGTGGGTAATTATTGTATTTAGACGTTTAATTGTTGCACTTCTATTTATCGTTGAATTTCTAGTTAAATTTTTCTAAGTAATAATTTTACTTATCTTGTCATGTTATCATGTGAAAGGATTTCATTGTATATGTGAGTATGGAATTTTGACATTTAATGAATTTAAATGTCTGATATTATGAATATAAAAAAGGAAATGGAAGTGAAGAAAGAATAGGAACAAGAATGACATTATCTATATTATAAATACAAAGCATAAATGAATGAATGATAAAAGGGGAAAAGGATATGCATGCAAATTACAGGAGTCACCCCCGTATGGTACTGGCTAGGGAAGCAAAGTACCCATGCACGTTAAATTGAAATGGAAAAGGAAAGGGGAAAAAGAAATGGAAATGATTGTACCTTTGATACATTTAGATGGTGCTCATGTACTAACTAAATGGGAAAAGAAATATATGTTAAAGTAAAGTATTTTATGTATGTAAATGAATATGTTATGAGATGTATAAACAACTGGATGAAATAAAATGAATAAAGAAAAGAATGTATGCCACTTCTTAAAATGAATAGACTTACATTAGAAATTGGTTGCATAGTACTTTATACATGATAATGATTACCCACTGAGTTTACACTGTATGCACAACCCACTAAATTAATGTTTCAGGTAAATTTCAAAAAAAAAAAATGGCTGAAAGGGAAGAATACATTTATAGAAGACGGCGCAACATTGAAAACAGGGAAAATTATGACTAATGTGAATGCTTAGTTTTGGCATAGATTGATTAGTTTTCTTGGGGTTAGTGGCTCTTCAGTTGTTGAAAAACTTTATGTTAATGTGTTATAAAATGGAATGAAATGTTACTACCGTCCGACTTGTTGTTCCCACCTCGTTAGATCAAGCATTCGGGCCAGGTCGTGATAGCATTATTGTCCCAAACTTGAATTTTCCCAACTCATCTAAAAAAAATTAAAAGTTTTCATTCCTAAAACATAAACAGAGAATGTCAACTGGCCAAATCTGAATTCATTTTATTTGCCCATAACCCATTCAAAGGGGAGATTTTTCAACGCTTCCTCTCTTAAGGAAAGTTCTAGTTACACTAATGAATCCATGGATAAAAAAGATAACCTACATCATATAGGACAACCTGAGACTAAGTTTGCATAGTGCGCTTTCTTCATATGGTAAAATTAAGCTCCTCAACTTAACAATCTCCCACATGGAGACTAGTCAATCATCAAATCTCCACAAAAGTGGCAGCAACTCCTCTCCCTAAAAGAGAAGTCCAATTAAAATTGCACACAACTTCAATCTCTCGATCAAAAGTCTATGTTAGTATATCACCTGGATTCAAGCTCCAAATTTTGTCTCTTTGTCAATATATCAGCTTGATTTAACCT